ATTTAGTATAGTTATTTTTAGTTAACTTATCTTTATTCTAATAATTTATATATATAAATTCTCTATAAATATACTGCCTTTTTGTCCTTCTAGCAAAGCAGTCTTGTCTTCATACAATTCTCAATAAAGATATAATATTTAGTATCTTTATATACTATTTATTATTTATCTCTTAGCCCTAATATAAATCACTACAAAATCTCTTTGTTAAATCTTAATTCTAGATACTATATAGCAAGCTATAAAGTTATAGTCTTCATACTATAATTAGCAGTCTCTGAGAACTCTAGAAGAGGTAAATTCTCTGTTTGACACTACTACCTAAAGGTATTAGATAGTTAATTATAAATAAGTATTTATTTTAATTCTACTGATTAATGTTAATAAATTATCTTTATACTTATGTACTATTTGAAAGATATTAGGTAATAGGTAATTAATTGTAAATAAGTATTTAGAGTTAAATATTTATGAATAAGTATTTATATTTATAATTTTAATTCTACTGATTAATACTAATAAATTATTTTTATATTTACTAACTAGATAAAACAATTTAAAGATTATTAGATAATTAATTAATTGTAAATAAGTAATTAGAGTTAAGAATTCAAAAATAAGCATTTATACTTATGATTTTAATTTTATTAATTAACTTTAATATCTGGAAAAAAAAATATGAAAAAAAATTAAAAATATAAAAATTCAGTACAATATTTTTCTTTCATCTTCATATTATAACTTATATAAAGAAATTATATGCATATCTTAATCTATATTTGAATCTAAATATATCAAATATATCAAAATCTAATATGAATTTAGAAGTGATTATCAAATTTCTTCACTACTAATCTTTTATTAAGTTCTTTGATGATCAGTAATTATCAATTCATCTGATTAGCAAAAAGAATCTGTGAAAAAAATAAATCATAAAAAAACAGAAAATAAATATTATCTAAACTTAGAATGAAGTATATAAAAAAGTAATAAAAGATATCTTTCATATATTTTAATCAATATTTAAACAAAGAATTTATTCTAGTAGATTTAAATAAAACTTGAAATTTAATTCAGATCTATATTAAATTGTTGAATAGTATCAGTATCATATCTAATATTCGTATCTAGGATATTATAAAAGTAAAAGATAAAATTTCTTTTTTAGAAATAATAAGGAAACTTTAGCTATTAATCTTATATATAAAACTAGAACAAACTAACTCAAAATGCAGAAAATCAATACACTGCATAAAAATCTCTATATAATAATAATTAGCTTTTTCAGTAATCAAAAAAAATAAAAGGATTAAATCTTTAACGATCAGTAATTATCATTTCATTAACTTAATAAAAAATTCTATGAAAAAAAAATGAAGATTCAAAAAATCTAATGAATATTATAAAAATTCACATTGTACTACTAGTATTTATATAAAAAATTATTATTTTACTATTATTTAATATTACATCTATAAATTAATTTGATTCTAGATTTTGTTTTTATTCATTATATAGACTCGTTATATTAAATATTAGAATATTATATATGCTCACATATACAAACAGATATAAGATATAAAATAGTATGCAAAAAATAGACAACATATCTTATATATAATCTGAAACTTTTAAATTGAGATATGATTAGCTAGATATTTTAATTAGTTAAACTATTATAATACAATATATAACTTTAAAATTACAAATTTTGTAATTCAAGTATATATATAAAGATACCTTTTGAATAAATGAGGTTTAGAAGAGGTCTAGTGATCTTAGTGTAGTGGTTAGATTGTTAGACCACCATGCAAGAGGTTTGGGGTTCAAATTCTACTATTGACGAATTTGAATAATTACTTAGACCTTTGTACCCAACTTACAGTAAACTCTGCTCTTTTTTAGGCGTTATAACTTTGTAAATTATATTGTACTAATGTCAATCAGACATTAGAAGTGTAACACAATACTCAAGTTATATTACACAAATAAATCTTAATAGGATCTACAGGCAGGGGACCTGTATGGTAAAAATTCCGAGTTTGGTGAAGTAGTATAGATTTTAATAGTCAAGCCAGTTAATGTCTGATCTAGTAGAAAATCCGAGTATGAAGGATGTGAGATTAATAGATGCAAGTAAGTTCACTGTGTAATGTAGTCTGATACTTTGCATTAGTAGCAACACTAACTTGGCTTAGCAGCTAACTAGATTAGGAAGATCTATTTCATGAAACATCTAGCTAGGACTTGAAGGACTATATCTAGTAGACAGCCATAGCAGGAACTAGATTTATACAACATTGACAAGAGTTTAATTCAGGTAAATTGGTGAAATGAGCACATGACTACACTAGTAGGAATCACTTCTGAAATTAACTAGAGCTTTGCATATTCACAATATGTGAGTAATACATATTTTAAGAGGATCTAAGTTATATGGTAAATAAATCCCCAGGTAAGTCAGCTAGCTTAAGCGGTCAGATATAGAGGTGACATTAGTTTGAATAGAGGAAGGGTTAATGATCAGAGTATGTAAATAGGTAACTCACAGATAGGTTGCGTGTATAGTAGCATAGTATAAAACTAACAGATAGTTGATCATCTGTATAGCGGACTATTTAAATTAGACAATAACTAAAGTTGTATGTATAGCTCGTTATATACTCATTATGTAACTATAAAACCTTAGAAAATTACTACAACAGTAACTCTATAATTACAAATTAATAAAATCTAATTGGCCAAAGAAGTAACCTTAATAAACTAAAAAAAAAAATAATAAATAAAGTTTAGAATACAAATATATATAGAATTTGTATTTATGTAAACTATTTAGTATAAATCTTAAATACTAATAAATTCTTGAATTATAAGTTTTGGTTTTATATAAACAGGATCTTCAATATTTAACATAAATCAAATATTTTTAGGCCTAATATTAAAAATCACTTTCAACTTTAAATTTAGTTCTAAGCTTAAAATTAGTTTTCTCTAATAAATATATAAATTTTAGATTATGATATAATTAGCTAGATATTATATTTAATTAAATTATTTTATAATACAATATAACTTTTAAATTGCACATATTGTCAAAGGCAAAATTAGTATATTAGAAAAAGAAGAAACTGTATCTCGAAGTAATTTGTGAAGCCTAAGGACCAATTCAAAAATTATATTCTAAAAAGAACTTAAATCATATGTGAAAATCATGCAAGACTAATGATCAACAAATTCGTAGTTAAACCTAAAAGGGTATCATAAGATAATTAATCCAATTATCAAAATGCAGCTTAAAAATAACAATAAATTCAATTAACTATATCTGAATTAGTTCATAGCTGTGTCTCAATACTATAACAAAGTTTAAGGCTATTTATTGAAATTAATATAATAAAAGCTTCATTAGATTTCTTTTTCTTTTTTTTGTTACTTTCTTGTATATTCGAAACATGTATAAAAGAGATATAAATTTAGAAAAAGAACAATAATTAATAAATATTAGGAGTAGTATAAGAAAAAACCAAGATAAATAAATAAAATACTTACTTTTGCATAATATTTCACTACTGCTTTAACCTATGCTAAATCAAATTTCACTTCTTCTTTAAGTAGTATTATATTGTACTATATATTGGTTTTTGTAGTGACTGTAAGAAATATAATACTAAGATAGAATACAACTCATATTTTCTTAGAAAATTTTTTTTTTAAAAATTTTGTTTGTAAATTTTTTTTTTCTTTTGTAAATTTTTTTTTTGTAAATTTTTTTTTGTACTAACTTGTATGTATATTAGTTTTTATTATTTGTATCTTGTGAAAGTAAACAATAGTATAAAGAAGTTATGAAAAATTAAAAAAAAAAAAGTATAAAATATACTGACTAAATATTTCCAGTTTGAACTATTAGCAATATAGAAGCCAAATGAAAATATCCTAATATTAGCAAGTACTAAGAAACTGAGAAGGTATCTAAAAAAGAATTATATATTTCTACTATAAAAAAAACCTATATAGTTAGCAAGTATCTAAAAATAAAGATAATGCAACTAGAATGTATAGAGTTGCTAAATGTACTTACTGAAGAACAAACTATAGAAGCCTATGAAATGATAGATAAAACTATAAAAAACCTTAGTTTTGATAACTCTCAAGACTTAGAATATTTTTTAGAAGTATTAAAGTGTATTAGCTTGAATAATAACTCTAATAATAATGATGATGAAGATGCAGAAGCTATACACCTACTTCTATATATCTTATCAACTCTACCTGTGAAAAAAAAAAAGAAGAGAGCCTGCTTCTAGTACTTTTAGTAGTCTCAAATCTAAAGATTTTTGAATTTCAAGTTGAGGCTAAAGAAATCAACACAGAGAAACTTCTCTAGAATCTGATTTCTAAATGCAATGCCATCACAAAGAAGTAGTTTTGCTGAAAAGAAGCTTCTAAAATTGGTTTTGAAAAAGATAAAAATAAGATACCTAATTGTTGTGAAAAGGTACCTAATAAGAAAAGGACTTAAGAAATATATAACTGTGACTCCTGCTATCAAAATATAATAAATATTAATAAAAGAATTAGAATTAAAAAGAAACAACTCAGAAACAAAAAAACCAAAGATGAAATAACTTTACATATCTGAAAAACTTCAAAACTAATAAAGTAGCTTATAATAATAATAATGATACTAACTTTAGTGAAGTTAATAATAATTTTGATGATAAAACAGTTGTTGCAGAAGATGATAGGCCTAGAATATTCAAATAAAATATAGACCTTGACAAAGCCTGCAAATATTAAAATAGAAAAGTTAATAAGAGTGATCAAAGATAACTTAAGAGCAATATAGAATCTAAACTTAGTTGAGCCAAGAGAATTTCCACTACCTAATAATCAAAAATATAGTCTTGACTCTTGTTACTGAAATAGAAATAGCTCTGGAAAAGAAAAACTTAGCAATAATAATAAACTATCAGAATAGGCATCTTATTAGATCAAATAATACAAAATCAGCAAAGACACCTTTTGAATTATACTAGCATATAACTTATGTAATTAGATATTTAACCCTAGCTGAAAAATCTTTTTTTTTAAAGAAGCAAAGTCAATTGAAATTTACAAAACAAAATAAGATAATAATAAAATAAAAAAAATTAAAAAAAAAATTAAATAATAAAAAATTTAGAATCATTAAATATGAAATGTAGAGACCTCATTTAGATTACTTATTACAAGCAAGTTGAGTATAGTTAGTTGTATGTGTAGAAGACAAGGCCAACTGAAGTACTGAGCCTTTGTAAGTCACAACATGCTCAGGAAGCAACTATGAAATATAGCAAGTGTAATGTCCTAGACTTATATTTGTAAAATATTATTAACTAGTTAGTACATGTTTAGAGCCTATAGCTATTCATAAGATCTTATAAAGGATTGCACAGATACAACACTTGCTTCATAACCTATTAGATAATAAAAAAAAAAAAAATTTTATCTGAAAATTCTACAATTTCTATTCTGATTTTTGTTTCCATTCCAACTCTTGTTGTCTTCTTTTCTTTGATTCTTTTTTTTTTAGTGGAGTTGTAACTTTTCTTTTTATATTTAAAAATTTAATAAATTTTTTTTTTGGTTTGTTATATATAATTTTTTTTTCTTTTTCTTCTTCTCATAGTTTAGTTTTCTTATAGCTATATATAATAATTATATATGTAGTTATAGGTATATTATAAGAGACTTGGAGTTCTTTTTGTATGAGTTATAGATATGTTTTTTTTTTAAATTCAGTTTTTTTATTTGTTTTAGTTTAGTTAGTTTTTTTATTATTATTATTTTTTTTTCTTTCTTTTGTTTGTTTCATTAAAACATGTAAAGATATGTTAAGGCTTCTCAAGAAACAACCAAAGCTCTAAGGAAAGAAGAAACCTCAAGCTCTATAAACCTAATTTTTCATGAGATATAAAAAATTAAGAGAAAAAAAATTGTCAGAGACAAAATTAGTATATCAGAAAAAGAAGAAATGGTGTCTTAAAATAATTCACAAAGCCTAAGGATTGATCCAAAGACCCATATACTAAATAGAACTCAGATCATATATAAAGATTCTGTAAAACTAATAATCAACAAATTTGTAGTTAAGCCTAAAAGAGCATTATAAGATAATTAATCTAATTATCAAAATGTAGCTTAGAAATAACAATGGGTCAAATTAACTATATCTAAATTAGTTTATAGTCATATCTTAATACTATGACAAAGTTTAAGGCTATTTATTAAAATAAACAAAGTAAAACCTTTGTTAAATTTCTTTTTCTTTCTTTTATTGCTTTTCTTATATTCTTGAAATATGTATAAAAGAGATATAAATTTAGAGAGAGAATAATAATTAATGAATATTAGAAGTAGTATAAGAAAAGACTAAGATAAATAAATAAAACACTTACTTTTGCATAATATTTGCTACTATCTTGACTTGTACTAAATCAAATCCTGTCTCTAGAGTAGTTAATAGAATACTTCAAGCTATAATAAAATATATAAACTATTTCAGTTTTAAACTGGAGTAGTTTATATATTTTATTATAGCTTGGAGTACTCTATTAACAACCCTACCTGCCTCTTCTTTAAGTAGTATCATATTGTACTATATATTAATTTCTGTAGTGATACTGTTGCTGTGTTTCTTTTGAGTGAAAGTAGCACTGTTAGCCTTCAAAAAATATATAATAACACTTTTGAATAAAGTTAAGAATACAACTATATGTGAAAATTCATATTTATAGAGATGCTATTAAAATTCTTGAATTACAAGTTTTTAGTTTGAATAATTAGAATCTTCAATCTTAATATTGATCAAATATTAATCAAATAATTAGAATCTTCAATTTTAATATATTAATCAAATATTAATTGAATATTCAGATAAAATAATAAACTTGAAATAACCTTTAAGTTTTAATTTTCTCTAATCTTAAACATTAATTTTCACTAACAAGTACACAAATTTAATATAAGTAACTAAATTATATAATCAACTTAAATATTTAATTAAAAATATATTATATACTTTCCAAATATATATGTATCTTTGTTCATAACTAAATGATCATATAATATATTGTTTCTATAGTTTAAGTATTTGGGTAAAATTTATAATTCTTCAGATATATAAATAATTAAATTTTACTATTTTGAAAATAATATAAAATAAATAATAACATAATGCTTTACTACACAAATACAATTATCAAAATCAAGTACCAAATTTTCCCAAAAAAATTTTACAAAAAACCAAATTTCTTCAAAATTTTATTAAGTAAACCAAGCAAGTACTCTTAAGTAAACTTGCTCTACACATATTTTTACATCCTAGCAGTCTAGTTTCATAACTCTCGCTTTTTTCTAAGCA